GGGAGCGTAATATGGAATGACATTCATTGAAATCCTCTCCGTTCTTTCCACTGAAGAATGATCTAATGCTTTTTGATCCATGAGATTCCCATGCTATAAGTGATTTTAATGCTTCTCTGGATAGCATCAGTGCAGCGTCGCATGTGTTGGAGATATTTTCATCTTCGTAACTAGAGTACTACAACACCTCCCCAAAGTTATTATTCTCCATCTAGATTATATCCAGTGTGGTTCACTTAATCCAAACACTGTCACGTTGTGTTTCTTATCTGTAACTTACTTACTTACGCCTGTTACCCCCAATCGAGCATAGGCCGCCCACCAGTTTTCTCCAACCAACTCTGTCCTGGGCTTCCCTCTCCAGTTCTGTCCAATGTTTGTTCATTCCTCTCATATCTTTCTCTATTTCTCTGCGTAATATGTTCCTTAACCTTCCTCTTTTCCTTTTGCCTTGAGGGTTCCATGTGAGGACTTGTCTCGTGACGCAGTTAGGTGATTTTCGTAATGTGTGTCCTATCCACTTCCAGCTCTTCTTCCTGAATTCCTCCTCCACTGGAGTCTGAAATGTTCTCTCCAACAGTGCATTGTTGCTGATGATGTCTGGCCAACGAATCCTCAGTATTTTGCATAGAAAGCTGGTAATGAACATTTGTATCTTCTGGATGATGGCTTTGGTAGTTCTCCAAGAATCACATCCCATTTAGAGCCACACTGTGTAGTTTTCCTTTACTTCAGTAAGTATTGTGATCAGATTTCTCACTGATATAGAACATTGTGAAAGTACTGGCTTTCAGCAATTACGACGTTGTTACAGACAAACTTTACGTGACAATGAATTGTCCATATAAAAGAATGGACTCTTGGTATTTTACATAAATTACTGTTAACAAATAATCCCATAGTTAGAATTGATAGTTCTGTAAATTTATATGATATAAGTTTTAACATAATTTAGCCAAATTAGATGAGGTGACTGGTTACATTGTAACAATCAAGATTAGCATGTTTAGTTTTAAGTGTTGACGAGATCCTACAGACCAAGTATCAAATCGGATCACAAGAACTGACTCAATACCATAGTGCTAATTATTTGATAATGCATAATTGGAAATTGATGAGTTCAGTGGGATTTTCTGTTGGTTTGGAGTAAATTTCTAAGGGTTTTCATTTTCTATTTAATTATATTTTATGGTAGAGTTTTGGAGATTTGTGTTTTTACACATTTGAAATCATCAATCAATCATTGTTAGACCACCATTAGAAACCTGGAAGCACTGAAAGACGCCCGTTTCGTCCTGATGTGGGACTCATCAGAGGCAGTGCGCATCCACGACTCCTTCAACTCGCAGGATTCGAACCCGAGACCTTCGGTATTGTACGCAAACGCCTTACCATCGGACCACTGGGCCAGCATCCAACAGTGTTAATGTCTAACTCTGATTAATCTAGGGATTTTGTGCGACCTCACCCAGTTTATTTGTTTACAGTGATCAATTTTAAATCATCATTTTGTTTTTGATTCAATGTTTTATAATTCTCATAAACAATTACAGGTATTTGTTATCAATTCAATTTACGTAGTAAAAATTGTGAATTTTTTTATTTTGACTTTCTTTTTACTAAAGAAAATGTAAAATATTTTTTATGTTTAAAAGTATTAAATTCACATTTGAAAGTGAGTTTGATGAGCTTGACAGTTGTACTTGTGTGTGTGTGTGGGTGTAACATGTTTCAAACTAAGTGTTCTGTACTTTTTTTAAATTACAGTCATGTTCTAACTATTTAAATTATCTTGTAGATATATTTTCTTCAGTTCTATTCTTAAACACAATCAATGTTTTCAAAATCTATGAATAATATGACAATTTGTTTAACACAATGATATATATATGTAGTTTCTAATTTGACGGTTGCAGAGATTGTTGATTTCCATGGGAATTGGATGCCAGCCAGCTCAGTGGTCTAGAAGTTAAGCATTCATTCATGAGACCGAAGATCCTGGGTTCGGTTACCGCAAATGGGGGTCATAGATACGCATTGCTGTTTAGTTCGATACGATAGATCACCCGAAAAGATCTAGACTTATCTACACTATGATCACTATCAACTAGGTATGCTAAGATCGAACTGCGTATTATTTTTGACTGACGCTTCTTAAACCATGCTGGGAGATGTCCACTTATTCGTTCGTTAAGTTGCCTGGTAGTACGCCCGATATAGCTATCTCCATAGGAGCAGCTGAATTTGTAAATGCACATAGAGGAGGCCAACTCAGGTACACTTATCCTTCGTTGTTGAGTAGACATCAGGGGGGGGGGGGGGGGGGGGGGGGGGGGCTCGTCGACTTGAGAAGGTCAACGCAAGTTTGGCTTCATTGAATGTTCTATTAATTGCTTTCATTAATCTGTCCTGCAGGGTATCGAAGGCCACGTGTCCGTTGAATTGTAATGTAATAAATAATGGATTCTTTCGAACGGTCGAAATTACTGACTTCTTTTTTTACATCAACCATATACTTCCTTATGAATGCGCTGTGGTAGACGATCTCGGTCAGTGAGTTGTTGATAAATTTCAGCTCCTGACTAAAAAGTATCCACTGAACAGATCATTTTCGCTGTGCTAGTGAAACATCTAAACAAATTTCTTTTGTAGCCAATAGGTGTAAAACTACAAATGTGAGTGTATTGGCAAGCAGCGGGATTTTTTCCATATACGCTTCTACTTAGCTAAACATCATTTCACGTACTTAGTGTGACGTCAAAGAAGGTCAGCTTTTTATCTAACTTTCATTAACAAGCAAAACACAAACTTAATTTAAATGACTTGTACACATTTCCAGTCGAATGGGTTCAGTTGATGTAACCATTGTTCAGTTACTGCTTTTTAGATTCAATCACAATAATAGTTTGTTACGTGAATAAACATTTTCTAGTGAAGTTTTTGTCTCTTGATTTCTATTCTAATCTGTGAGGATAATTTAAGTGTGGATTATTGAATAGTAGATAGATAACTTCGAGCAGATCAATACTTATTTACTTACTCTTGTTACCCCTAATGGAGCATAAGTCGCCGACCAGTGAACTATTTTTCTGGTCAGCATTTTTTTAGGGAGTTGGACTTCTACGGAATGGGGTGCCCAACCCCAATGCCCAAACCTCCTGCTTTATCCGAGCTTGGGACCGGCAGTAACCGTAGCAGGATTCCAGACGAAGATTTCGAGAGAATAGACCCTTAATCAATTCTAACACCATCGAATTAGTGTGTGAAATTATCATTTAAGACTTCTTCCTACTTACTTCTGAACCCTCTCTTTTGCTAAGTCTATATTTTGTAAGTGCTATCTCACCTATAATCATATATCTTCGGTTTAAACAAACTCTTTGTATATACTTCTCAGTTTTCTCTTCTCGAATATTCTGGAATATCTAAATTATAAATAAACAATTATTTCATTAACTTTTAATTCTTCCACAATTATTGTGTCTGAGTATTTTATCTGTACATATCAAACTTGTATTCATGGTCCCTCTAGCACGTCTACTTATTTTGATTTTAATGGATAATACTACTGATATTAGGCGATAAGTAGTTGAATAAAATCCACGAAATAAATGAGGTGATAGCCCTTTTGTTACCATTCTTGTTTTAACATTTACTGTAGTTAATAAACTCGAAAAACTCTGTAACTGTAAATAATTATTCTCACTGAATAGACTGCAAAAAGATGGGTAGCTATAGATATGCTGAGAAGACTGAGCTTACCTCCTTAAACCCACTGAAATGAATACTGTTGACTTAGTACTTTTGATTATTCATTCTGTATTATAACCACATACAGTACTGTTGGTAAACAAATTAGGGGAAAGTAACTTTGAGAAAAATTACTCCTTTTCATAAAGGACTCTTTTTTATATTGTAGATTCAGATTTTCGACAAAGGGTAACAGTAGTTCATCGGCAAGAAACTCTAGTCTGTCACTTTCCTTCTAACATATCAATGATGAATGAATCATTGTTAGACAAACATTAGCAACCAACAAACATTGGATGGCCGTTTCATCCTGGCGTGGGACTTATCAGTGGCAGTGCGTATCTACGACTCCTGCTATTCACATTCTGCGGTCTTGCACATGAAAACATAACCTCTGAACCACTGAAACGGCCGATATCCAAAAGTGTTGATGTCTAACTCTTATCAATCTAATGATTTTCTCGTAACCTCACCCACTGTCTTCCGTAGTTACTACCTACACCCGGAAAGATTGAACTTCACTTCTCCCTAAAACTTTGAGAATCTCATCATGAAACTAGTCACTCGTAAACAGATCTTTAATTGTTGTTGTTGAAGTATTATGGAGATGGTTGTTTTACATTGAAGTCATATTGTGGCGCGCGCTACTTATAAGTAGTATATGACGTGAGTGTAAACCTAATGGCTGGAAGCAGAAGATGAGGGAAGATCAAGAAAGGAAGAGTTAGAAAACAATGGAATTTGTATGAAACGCATGAATAGTGAAATGTCAGACAATGGATTGATGATGGATTGAAGATTTGCAAATTACCGGTTTAGGATATGTTTTTCCAATTTTACTGAGTAACTCTGTAATTTACGTTAAATACAATTCGGTTTCCCTCACCGGTGTTCTCCTTCACTACAATATTATAAACTGTTGCTCATCAGGTTATTTGAATGATTGAACAAAAGTGCTTGAAATGTGTGTCAACGTAATGTCTGGCAACAGAAGATGGGGGAAGATCAAGAAAGGAAGAGTTAGAAGAACGCAATGGAATTTGTATGGAACGCATGAATAGTGACAATGGATTGATGTTGTTTGCAACAGGAACAGTCCAGTTCGATATGATGAACTGATATTTTGCAAATTAATGATTTACGATATGGTTTTCTGATTTTACTGAGTAACTCTGTAATTATCGTTAAATACAATTCGGTTGCCCTCACCTGTGTTCTCGTTCACAACAACAAGAATAAATCACAAATTTGTTTTTTCAAAACTCTTTTATTAAGTCATGAATATATTATCATAAATTTTTTAAGAAGTAATTATTGTGTAATACATGAGTAATGATGAGTAAATGTAATTAAATCATAAAAATTTCTTAATGATTGATCATCAGTAAGTAAGTAATCTGCCTTTAGGTGGTTTTTTCAGTCTTTGATTTCTATTCATCATTGGATGAGGAGGAGGAGGTCTTCGTGGTGTTTCTCGCAGACATGTGAAATATCTTGTTTTTAACACTTCCAAATAATGTTCAATATCAGCGATTTTTTTGATTAACTCATCCAATCTCTCTAGCACCGAATCTCCATGATCATTATGTGTAAATGATACAGATTTTAAAGGATTTTTAAGTGGAAGATGTTTACCATGTACTGAATCTTCTAGACTATGTGTATCTTTTTCTTCAAGTTCAAGTAAAGGTGGACCATCTCCAGGAAACATTTCATGCATATTTTTCATTGCTTTTTCATTTGGAATTTTCACTGTTCTACTACTAACTGTAATTTCTCTAGAAACCCAATTATTTGAATCATCTGGTGTTGATACATTACTCTGTTGGTTTTGTGCAATTCTATTCATATCTTCAGTGTTCTTATGAACTTGTCTATTAGCATGCTTATTTACTGGTTGTGTGTTGTGTCGATCTTCAAGGAGATGACGATTTTTCCTTTCATCAGTTGAATACTTATTTTTATCTTCATTTTCATGTGTCGTTGCAGTTTCGCTGTTTTGATTTTGATCTAAACTTGAAGTATTTCCTGGTTTATTAGTTTCATTCATAACAACACTGACTAAATTTTCACTAACCGTTTTCTCAACTGGTTTCATCATTGGTTCAAGATTATCGGACGTCAGGGTTTCAGTTAATTTTTTCATGACTGGATGAACATTTTCCAAAACTTTTTCTTCATCACTTCGATCATCCGTTTCATCAACTAGAACTAGTTTATTCTCTTGAGTATTATTATCAGTGTATTTTCCTTCTTCAGTTGAAGGAAAATTTGTTTGATTCCTAACCCTATTAATGTTATCATTTGATAAAGTTGTTACATTCTTTTGTTCTGAGTCTAATTCATTATCATACTCTGCATCATAATCATGGCTATCTTCAAGTAAATTGGGATTATCATGTTCACTAGTTTTATTCGGATCATACATTTTAATAATTTTGATAATATGAGGTAGTTTACCACTTTGATTCGTTATTACATGAAATGCTGTTGCATTAAAGTTTAAAGATTGATTCTTGTTATTTGCGGAAACAGTTTCTTCACCAGGCGGCAAGACAATAAACTTTGTTTTCATGAGTTTTTTCGGTACGTGAAACGATTCACTCAGTGTTTTCTTCTGACTATGTGAAGATCGTTGGTTTCCGGCATTTTTCTTTAGTTTGGAAATAATGTCTTTCGCTGTGTTGCGTTTCATTTTCATATATTCATTTCTTGTTGAATTATTTTCTTCAATGTCTGGTGAAGTGGTTGTTTCGCTGTCGTTAGTTTTGTTGTTTTGATTATCATCTTCGTTTACGTCGTCATCAGTTTTATTTTCCGGTTTATATGCATATTTAATGTTATAATCATTATCACTTACATTTCCAGCAGGGTCAGATAGTGTACTATTGTTTTTTTCATTCTAAAATTCAAAATATTCAGAGAAGTAGGTTAGTTTCTTTTTTTTCCCCTCAAGATCTCACTTATTCAACAAAAATAGCATAATTAACCTACAGGAGTTTCTTGTATAAAGATTTACTGTGAATTAGAACATATTCAAGATAATTTGCATACGTAAAAAATCTATTTCACGGATATTTAAAGACATCCAACGTCAATATCATGAAATGATTGAACTTAGACATCGGTATTGATGGAAGCCGATCCAGCGGTCTAAAGACTTAGTGTCTGCGTGTGAGACCATAGGTCCTAAGTTTTGATTTCCCTTCACTGGGTCGTGGATAATTACTGCTGATGAGTCTCATACTAAGACGAAATGGCCATTCAGTGCTTCGAGACTTGTAATGTTGGTCTAGTCAAGATCAGTTCATGACTTTAATCAATAATAAAAGTAATATATATTTGTCGTATCGTAATGAATACAAAAGTTGAAAAAATTTTCTGACGTTTTGTGAGCTAATTCAATTGGTTTGCTTTTTACTCTCTGAAGAAGTAGCTTGCACTGAATCACCAACTTCCTAAAAAAAATTCAACTTTTCTACTCATTGAGATCCAATCAGTATTTTATTTTTATTAATAACAATCCATTCAATGTTCAATTAGTATGGAATTACTAAGTCATACTTTAGTAATGACACCAATGAAAATAATTTAAAAAAATTTGTGAAAATTACACAACCGGACTTCCATAATAAGTATTTGCATGTTTCATTATTATCGTACGATTATTGTGTGTTCTTTCCATTCTGAAGTATCTCAGTTAGTTGTATATATATCCTTATTTATATTATATTATTTCATTTAGAAATTGTCGGAGACGTTACATACCTAGAACTCACTTGGAAAAAGGTCCTAATTTAGGATTTTATGTTTTCGTGCATGGGCTAATCAATTGATCTTAAGATTACATTTCTCACCCAGAAATCTTTGACTGTTGTTATTAGTTGATGTGTTATTTTAGTACGCTATTTTTGTGGCTCTCCCAACGACATTTCTATCATATATAAATAAACTCGATTTGTGTGCTATTCAATCTCATATTTTCCTGTCGCTTGTAGAATACACTTTCTGTGTCTTGTAAAGGCTTGTTCCTCTAGTTAGTGTGGCGTTGGGACGTACGGATTAGAGTAGCTTATCGTGTCCTTGGATCATTTATTCATGTGACATCACTTAGGAGAATATTATGAACAATTATTTCTGTAATTATATTCACTTGGCGTACAGTTTAAAAGAATTGAATATTGAGCGTTTATCGCATTCTAGTCGAATAATATACACACCAAAAACTCTGATGTATAATCCTACGGTGGTGCGAGCTACTTATAAGTAGTATATGACGTGAGTGTCAACGTAATGTCTGGCAGCAGAAGATGAGGGAAGATCAAGAAAGGAAGAGTTAGAAGAACACAATGGAATTTGTATGAAACGAACGCATGAATAGTGACAATGGATTGATGTTTTGCAACAGGAACAGTCCAGTTCGATATGATGAACTGATATTTTGCAAATTACCGATTTACGATATGGTTTTCCAATTTTACTGAGTAACAATCCGGTTGCTCCACCTGTGTTCTCCTTCACTACACTACTAGGGATCGAAAATTTCATCATTTATCGCTTGTTACAAAACACCTAGTCATTATTGCTATTGTACTGATATGTACTGATTTTCGACTTTAAAGATTTGATATTCACTGCACATCTTTTAATTATGGAGATTTGTTTAAACTATTTTATTCCTGATTACTATTTCTTCTTCCGTACTTTCATACTAAGTGAATAAACTTAATTCATCATAAAAAGTTCAACCAAATTTCATATTTCAAAATATCCGGTAAATATTTAAGTTACACATATTTTTTGAAACCATGAATCGATCAATGTTAGACCACCATTAGAAACCTGGAAGCACTGGACGGCCGTTTCGTCCTGGTATGGGACTTATCAGCAGTGCGCATCCACGACTCCTGCACCCCCCAGGACCTTCGGCAATGTGCGCGAACGCCCTAACCGTTAGACCACTAAACCAGTATCCAACGGTGTTAATATTTAACTTGATCAAATTCACGGAGTTGCGCAACCCCATACACAGTCTTCGGTAGTTACTGTATACACCCGAACAAGTTGAACTTCACTGATCACGTCCAGGACGAAACGGCCGTCCAGTGCTTCCAGGTTTCTAATAGTGGTCTAACATTGATCATCGTTCATGGTTTCAAAAAAATGTGTAACTTAACAATCTTCACAACCTCGTAATGAAAATATTTAAGTAGTCAGGAAAATTTCATCATCAAACACAATATATCTACAATTTATCATCAAAAAACACATAAGAAATTAAAATTATATGTAATTTACCTTTTCAACTATTGTTCTACAATAATCTTCAGGATTTGTTTCAGGTGACTGATAATCAATGCATAATTTACTTGTACAATAAGCTGCATCGACTTTACAAATACATTTGCGACAACCATCATCAAATCTTGAGTGATTAGAAAAAAATGAGGATATATTTGGGGTTAAAAAAGAAAATGTTCACGTATAAATATCTAATGTCTTTAATAATTACTTATATATGTCTATAAATATATGTATATTATATATGAAAATGAGGTTTATTAAAACAGTTTTTATTTCAGAAACTTTAGGATACATTGACCACATTAATTTTTCAAACGTTTCCCACTCATAAAAATCTACTTCTCAAATTTTGACAAGTGAAACTCTTCAATTTTCTCTTCCACCTATATAGAATCATTTTTTCTCAAATTCACCAATTATTGTCAATAATACACAGTCTTACATGTCTACTGTCATGATCAATATTAAAGATGGACCTTAGATTAATTATCCTGTCAGTTGGTAATGCTGTAATGAAAGTATTTGCTATGCTTAAGAATTATTTTTCGTGTTAAAATCTGAAAGGTTTCAGATGTTCCAACTAAATCCTTGTTTTTAAACATGCATATATCGTTCAAAGTTTCACTCTAAACAAACTCAGTCGAAATTCTTAAG